CTACAGTAAAAAGCTATGAAATGGGGCTTTCCAAAGTTGCTTGAACTCTTTTTTTTTTTTTTTTTTTTTTTTGAGTAGATGGGGCAAAGGCTGGAATAACTATTATTTCTTCCTTTGTTTTGGCTCCAGGAAAACCCTCTCTGGACCCAGGTGCTGCCAAGCTGTGGACACTGTCTGCCAATGATATGAATGATGAAGAGATGGTAAGTGGTTTTCTTTGTGAGGTTTTGCTGTTCCTTCTTTCTCCCCATTCTTTCCTATCCTAAATACTTCCAGTCATGCCTCTTAGGAAGCTTTACAACTTCAGAGGTAGGAAAACCTCCCTAGGGCAGATTAACTCATCTCCTTCATGGGGTCTAGAGAGCTCAGTGATGTGGTGAGGGCAGAGAGGAGACAGGGATAAGAGGGCAGAGCTGCAGCACTTTAATGCCAGTGTATAGATAGCACCATTTCTTTGAACGTAACTCAGCAGTGTCATTCCCTACTGAAAAGTCTCTTTGTCTCCCATGGTGTGTTTTCAGGATCTTTTGGACTCTGATGAGCTGTTGGATTCAGAGGATTTGAAAAAGCCAGATCCATCATCCCTCAGAGCTCCATCCTGCAAAGAAATAGGAAAAAAGAAAGCCTGCAAGAACTGGTCAGTGCTGGAATTCATGTATCAGTGAACCTTTCAACTACTGTAATAAGAGTTGGAGGGATTTAAAAAAGATTGTAGGCAATTTGCTGTTTTTCAGAGCCTAACTCTCTTAGTTCATGTCCTTTCTTATCTTAATTATTGGAATGTAAATCCAAATACAGTGAGAATTGACCCGTGACTGCTACAAATTATCACAATGGTGTACATTATCAACACCCATCTTGGAGGTGACTGCATAGCTTGTGCAGCTTGGCTAAAACCCTGGTTTCTCACATTCCAAGTAGAAACAGCACATGTAGCAAGTGCTGTAGTGTCGTTTCCCACTCAGTTTAAACTTGAGGAGTGTTTCAACACTTGTTATGCAAACCGTGGTGTTGAAGAGCAGAGTGAGGAGCGTGAGTCCCAGAGTCAGCTGTGTGGTGTGACAGAGCGAGGGCTGCTGCATGTGAGTAGGGCTGGCACAAGTGTTGATGACTCATGACCTTTAAGCAGATAGATGCAGGTGACTTCTTTGTTTTTCTACAGCACGTGTGGCCTGGCTGAAGAACTGGAACAGGAGAAGAAGAGCTCACAGCCCAAATCTGCCTGTGGAAATGTAATTAGTATTTTTTGTCTTTATACTATGGTTTGCAATATGTGATCTCTGTGTAAGAATTGTGTTCCCTAGTCACTGCAGCCTGAACTGGATCACTGCTTCCACACACTGCCTGTGCAGCTTCTGCAGAGCTTCAGCCTTTGCCCTGTGCCCATGTGCTCTGTACCAGCACATGCAGTCTGTTCTGACTCCCTGGGGGAGTCAGAGTGAGCAGTGACCCTTTCCCTCTGTGCTCATGGCCTAACTGGGGACCTGCCCAGAGAGGATTGCCTTGTGGGAGCTCAGGGGGGCTGCCCCAGTTTGGGCACACCAAGTGGGGTGGAGACTCATTTCTGTGTGAGCCTGCACAGCTCTGCCACCCACACTGACCAGATGTGTTGAGAAGGGGGTAGAAGGGAAGCAGTTTCTGTGCTCATAGATGCTGAGGAGCATGACATCTCTTGACCTGGAGAAACCATATCACAGGGGAAGAGACCTGAAAGTGGCACCTGATTACAGACAGTGCTTTTCTTTCCCTTGCCAGTGCTACCTGGGGGATGCATTCCGCTGTGCCAGCTGCCCTTACCTGGGGATGCCTGCCTTCAAGCCTGGGGAGAAGATTCTCCTGCAAGAGAACCAGCTGCACGATGCCTAACAAAGACATGTCCTGCCAAGGACTCTGCTGCTTTTCCATCACTCTGAGGTTCTTCCTGCAGTCCTCCTCATCCTCTCAAACTCTTGCTCTCCAGTCAATACTTCATGTGGGGAGGGACACTGCAGGCACTGACACTGCTGTGAGCTCACCACTTGTCATCAGCCTTGGGCTACCTGATCCTCTGGGGACAAGTCACGGATTAGACTTCATGTTACACCTTGTTTTGGCTGACCTGACTTGCTCCTGGACGCTGGCCCGTCACAGCGTGTCCCACCAGCAGAGGGAAGTACAGTCACGTGTCAGGGTGTCCTTGTGTGCCTGTGGCATTTCCCATGCCCATGTCCTACAGCTCTAATTAGTCCTGGTTGTCCCTGGTGAATCAGCAGCTCTGCCTCAGTCCCCAGGGTGCTGGGCTCCTGCTCTCTTTAACCCACAGCCCCTTATGTGGAGATGGTTTAGCAGCTCCTGTGACAAGTCAGGAGCAGGGAGGACACTTAGCAGTGTGTACCCTTAGCAGTGTGCATGGGAAAGGCTGGCAGGCATGATGAATTTCCAAGTGTATTGGGAGCCCCTATCCCCAGCTGTTTTCAGCAAAATTACGAAGGTTCAGTCCCACCAAGAACTCCTGCCTTTAAGGCAGGGATCTGGTGAAACAAGATCTGTCTTGTCTTCCCACAGCTTTCAGTCTAACACAAGCTGACAACACAAGGGCAATCTGAGACCATCACCTCTCTTGGTGGTTACCTGAGTGAGTTACCTGCAGTGTCAAATACATAAGAACACAGCAATAACTTGTGGTGGCCCTCTGCTCCCTCTCCATGAGATACTATTTATTTGTGTAGTTACTACTAGTGAAGCATCCTGCAGGTGTGGGATCAGGGTGCTGTTCACTTTCTGTGCTGGGCTTGCTTCTCACCCAGGGAGGGGGAGGAGGAAAGGCCACATTCAGTCTCAGTGGGGACTGCTTTGTTTGGAGCTCTTGCCCTACAGGATGTGATCTCTTCCTGTGTGCTACCTGAGTTACTGAACTCATGGAGGGGGCTGGGATGAAAGGCTGTTCTGTTCTTGAAATAAAAGTGACCAATAGTAAAGCCTTTGTTTTAAGGCTGGTATTAGTGGTATTCTAAGTGTTCCTTCTTCTACTCAGCCTCTCAAGTGATTTCTTAAACTGTTCAAATGCTAGATTGCATCTTGGAGTTCTCCATAAGTTGTTCCTCTGAAAACTTGACTTGAATGTGTGGTATGCACTGGAAACAACAGATGTTAAGGAAAACTTAAGAAAACACCTTTCTGACTGCTCCAGATGCTGCTCTGGGAATCACACTTGCAGTGCCCTAGGCTGTCACTGGTGGGATTGAAGCCCCTTCCTTCCAGAGGACAAGCTTTCCCAGAACCCTCTTTCACTCCTCCCCAGTCCCTGCTTCTGTCATCAGTGAGAACACTCCCAAGGAGACAGGATTTGTGTGATAAACCACCTGTCCAACCAACTTGTTGCTCCTAGCTAGTGATGATCCTAGAAGGAAATGGGCAAAAGCCTCTGCACACTTATGGCCTTTAGGGGTTTCATTGCCTTTTCTCAGCCTCACTGGTAGTAGAACATCAGATCTCTTTATGAGATCCTCCTTAAAGGCAGCCCTTACCCTGAACTCCACTTTCCTCTTGCCCAGACTGGGAGAAGCACCACTTGTTTCTCTGCATGAGTCAGCCTTCCTTTTTATGGCCAGCAGAGCTTGGGGGCAGCAAGGACACACTTTGTGCTCCTGGCACGAAAACCCATTGTGGATGTTTCACCCACCTGCCTTGGGTGCACACAGGGACAAGGAGCCCCCTCCATATGGAGGAGTTTGGGGACAGGAGAGCATTGTGTTTATTATTGCTTCACCTTCACACACTTGCTTAACTGCTTGTGATAGCATCTTTCTGAGAAGTGAAAGTTGGAGGCTCAGCTCTAGCCATAGTAGCTGCTTCACCTTTTTAAAAATAGCCAATGAGCAAAGATTGCCCCCACCCTTCCTCCCTGCACTGGAGAGGTTGCCTCAGCTAGTTCCTCCAGCAGCCCTGGCTGCCTTTCCCTGCCTCTTGTTCGCTGGTGTTATTGCTCCAAGGCTATTTCATGGCTTCTTGCCTGGTTCCCTGTTAAAGAAGCTATACCAGATCTGATTCCCCACTAACCTTGGGCATAAAGGAGGATGCAAATGCAGCACTATGAATGTCCCAGCTTTCTCCAATTCATTGATCAATTACTCTTCCCTGGTGAAGCAATGAGCCATGGTTTTCCTTCCACTTCTTTTCAAGGCAGTTAAGCAAATACAGAGCCTCTGGCAGCCTTTGTTAGTCTTAATTTGATTTGTACCTCAGCTTTCCAATTTTGCCTCTTTGCAATTAGTGAGCACGTCATTCTGCTCATGTCCTTTGTGGTTTTCCTCATGGCCTTCTATTTTGGCCAGTGGGATTCTGAAGAAGTCTGCAGCTATATTTGCCTCCTCTGAAACTTCCCCCCTTTCCCTCAGCAAATAATAAGTGGCTACCAAGGTTATTAGTACAAGTCTCAGGTGTCTGGCTCAGCTCTTCTTGAGTTCACGAGCAGTCTGTCCTTCTTAGTTGAAGGTTTTTAAAAACCCTTTACTTAAAATAACAGTAAAAGTAATTTCATGCTATAGACACAAGAGAAGGGCTATGCTGGTCTAGCCCAAGGGCCACCCAGCCTGGATGTAGAGAATCATGGGATCCTTTTAGGTCAGAAAAAAGATGTTTGAGTGCAACAGTTACCCCATCACTGCCAAGCTTGTGCAGGTGTTTATGTCACTGGTGGCAGGGATGTTGATGGGGCATTGAATGGAACCTGGTCATGCAGGTGCTGATGATGTCATGCCTGGCAGAGAAGCTGATGAGATGGGTTCTTTAATGGTTGGACATCTGCTCAAGTTGGATCATATGCCCTGAGAATAACCCAGAAGATCTGGATGATCTTTTTGGGGTAATCTCTGAATCTCAACATCTGTTGTGGCTGTAACACTAAATCATTAGAGCTATGTGCTGGTTTCAAACCCAGTGGGAAAATTAACTCCTCTCCAGCTGCTCCTCTTCCCCCAGCCTCTTCCAACAGCAGAGGAAACACCAGGCAAGACCACATGTGGGAATCACAATTTTACTGAAAAACTCACAATAAACACAACATTACAATAAAAGAGGGCACAAAGGAGAGTGTTCTGTCTGTGAGAAGGTTATTCACCACCAAACCAGCAAAACCACCTAGCCACTCCCAGTACAAAGCAGATCCATGTGTATCACTGCAGCAGAACCTCTGTGAAGCAAGAAATGGCTTTTCCATCCTTGCCCCTTTTGTTTCAAGTGAGTGAATGAAGCAAAGGTCAACCCACATCACAGCAGGTGCCTGCTCTAGAGAAAATCCAGAAAATTGCTCCAGGACTTCTCATGGCCAGCATGTGCCACCCAGCATGTCCAGGACCAAGCTCTTCCTGAACACCATGTTGGCCACACAGTGTCCAGTGTCATTCCTGAACACAGAACAAGCAGCTAGAGGAGCCTGTCAGCAACTGGAGACACTGAAAATAGTTGCTGAGGTGTGGCAGTGCTTAGAGCTGCAGAAGGCAAGGGGAAAACGGGCTCAAGAGTCCTGTCCTCACTGTGAGACATGGCTTCTTCCAGGGAAACATAAAGCAGGGTTTGTGTTCCAGGGGAACATAAAGCATGGTTCTGCAGCCACTTGGGCTAATAGGTGTCTTTGGTCCCCAAGACTGCACTTCTGTATGAGCTAACATCTAGTTTTTGAGGAGATCGACCCCAACAGATGGACAACAAGCTGCTCACCTCCCTCACTTGTCTTCCTTGGGGGAGACATCCACCTCTGTGCTGGCAGCACTGCTATCCCCACCACTCTGCTTCTGTTGCAATGGCTTGATCTCGGTGTAAATGACATTGGAGGAGGCAGATGCTGTCCCCTTCTTTTCAAAATTCAGGTTGGCATAAGTCAGATCCTCAGTCCCTGTCACCGGGGCTGCCTGCAGGGAGAGAGCAATGAGTAGAGCCTTGGCTTTTCTTTCTGTGTCTCCCCAATATATTTCCACTGGCACAAATCTTTGTGCTGCCCAAGCATTACCCAGATTGCTCAGAAGTGCCACCTACTCAAACACTCATAATCCCTTATTTAATAGGAATTAGTAAGTGTTTAGGACCATGTTTTCAGAAAGCAAAGCTGATTTTACTATGAAATCCTTTAAGTGGGTATTCAACAATGCTTTTTTGACAGGGAGGAGGAAGTGACACGTGCAAAGCTCCCCTTGGCTTACTGTACTGACCTGATTCCCCTCTGCCACTTCCACGCTCATGAGCTCTCCTGAAAAAGGAAACCTAGTTTTAATAGTAGCTAAAATAGTGACAATGATGGATCATTATTTTAAATCAAGAAAATAATTAAAATAATGAAGCAAACATCTGCATTGGTCCTGCTTTTGTTGTGGGAGAGGATGAGGCACTGCAGCTCTGTGGTTCAGGAGACGGTCAGAGGGCTGCAGGGCTTAAAAGTCCTTGGAGGGGCTGGAGAAGAGCTCTGAGGTGGACACTTCTGAATATGCAAGACCTGTTTCAATCACACAACAGGCTGTGCCATAACCAAACTCCCACCAGCAACTGACCAGAGGAAAGGAGGGGGGTGAACCTTCTTACCACGCTGGGACAGCTTGTTCAGGAGGACTTGTGAAGAGAACACAGAGCAACTAAGATATCAAAGATGGACATTTCCCAAGCCTGGCTTTGTCCAGACCAGCAGCTGAGGAAGAAATGCCAACCTGTTCTGTTCCTTCTGCACTGCCACAGCAGGAAGCCGATTACCGGCATGTACAGGAGCGTCCCGATCGCTAAGCCAAGCAGGATGCACAGGAGGAGGTTGAGTCCTGCACACACAACATCACAGAGGCACTCGTCAGCCACCATCCCCTCTGCAGGGACACGTGCTGCCACTGCCTCCTTCATGGCACGGCCAGTTTCTTCCCAGACTTGGGCTACCAGACCCTGAACCATCTACAGCTTCAGGGTGCTGACAAAATCCAGTAGGGAATGGTCTCCAAACTCATCCAAGGGGTAGCTGGAGCATCAGAGCCCCTTCCCAGCATCACAGCCTCTGATCCACTGGTGCCTACCCCAGTTTGGCAGTGAATCCCACCCACTCATAGGAAAACATCTGGCTGTTTTCTCCCTTACCGCTCCTCCCTCTTTTTCCCTGAGGACTCCTCCTTCCCTCCACTCTTGCAGCCAGGTGACTGTGGGGACACACCTGTCCAGATCTTACCTGTGATATCAGTCTGAGGTCCTGGAGAGCCACAGCCTGAAAGGCAGAAACACAAGAGAGAGAGTGTCCAGAGGCAGAGAACACCCTGCACCCTGCTCTGCTTTGGAGCAGGAGCCTTGACCCCCCAGTCCTGGCTGTCTCTCTCCTGCCACCACAGCTCCAGCCACTTCAGTAGTTGGCTGATGTGCTGCAGCTGGAGAATATGGCAGGTCCTAGGAAGGAACCAATGGCCCAGCAGCTCCATCCCCCCCAGCTCTGTCCCCCCATCCCATGGTGGGATGAATCTGCCAAAAGCTGCTGTGCTGAGGTGGCTCCTCCAGTTCTCGGGATGCTCTCAGGGGAAATAATGCATGGAAGAAGTAGAGGAGTGCTGGATGTAGCATCCTTCTCTGCCCACTCATGTCCCCCACCGAAACAGACCCACCGCCACGTACTGTGATCTGCTGCTTGCGTGCTGTTTCCAGTGTCTGTTGAGTTTGGTCTTGTGATGAAAAGCCTACACCCACAGATTGCTGTGCAGACCGTACACAGGCTTGAGCTGGTGAAATTCATACAGATTTTATCCAGAAACACAGTGTCGGTTTGATTTCCAGCATCTGCCGAGTTTGGTCGTATGTTGAAGACCCCAGACACACAGATTCCTGTGTGGGCTGTACACAGGTTTGAGCTGGTGAAATTCATAGAGTTTTCTCCCAGAAACACAGTATTGGTTTGATTCTCCCTCTGCAGACATCCAGGATTGTACCACTTCATCTGCACCGTGAGATTCTCTGAACCAATCTCAAGCTGCACAGTGGTGACTGGCTTTACCATCTGACTGGCTGTTCCTGGAGGAAACAAAACCAGAAGCGATAGCTGAAATATATATGATCTTACAGGGTCCTGTCCCACATGTCACTCATGAAAGACACAGTCAAGTGACCATCCTTTTCTGCAGCAGCTGATGATCTTTTCCAAATCCAGCTGCTAATGATTCTAGGCATTCTAACCATGCTAAGCACTCAACATTGAAATGTTGCGTGTTGGCTAGATCATTTTTCTTCTCCACATCCTCTCTGCTGTTCTCCATCATTTCAGGTGACATTAAACCACTTCACCTCCCTGGCAGTGCTGCTCAAACCTGCCTGAGGCAGACACTGCAAGATAAGACCTAACCCTACCAACACATCAACTGTGGCTGAAATCTGGTGAGCAAGTCCTGCTGGAAAAAAAAAAAAAAAAACTATAGGAAGGCTGGTTTTGTCATAAGGAATATCCACATCTGCCCTGTGAAGCTGACTCCACTCCACAATAATCAGGCTTATAAGCATTTCTGTTTCCTTCCCCCCAGCTGTTTTCTCTCCCTGCTGCTGAAGGCAAAGCTGGTTCAAAGCCCCTGGAGCTCACACCCCTTGCAAGCACAGCTGCAAGGGGGTCCCCTGTGCAAGGCACATGGCAAGGTGCTGCTGCAGAAGAGGGGCTAAATGATGCAAGAGGAGAGGTAAAAGCAGCAGCAGGCACTTTCCACACCTTCTGCAAGCATAAGCAAAGAGGGAAGAGTTCAGAGCGGAGGCAAGGGTGCTGGGGGACTCACCAGCTGGCAGGCAGATGAGGAGCAGCAGGGGCAGAAAGGTGTTGGCCAGCCAGAGCTCCTTGCTTCCCAACAGCCTCATGGTGATCATGCTGGTGGGATTGGCCGGGAGCCTCCGTCTCTCCCTGCAGTGTGGGGTCACTGCTCAGCCAAGGGGAGCCGAAGCCTTGCTGGGACCTCACCCCTGCACCACTGGGCCTGGCAGTTTCCTCTGTGCTCACAGGCTTCCCCTTCTCTTGCCTCAGCCCAGTTCTTATCTCCTCTCTTCTCTGATTCCTCCTCTGCTTTCAGCCTGACCACATACTCTTGGCCCCGAGACCCGAGTAATGTCCCGGGGGCTGCTGAGGGCCATTTCCCATTACGCCAGGGCCCGACCCAGCGACCCAGCCGCTCCCTGCCACTTCCCCAGTTTGCTGCAGCAGCACCTCCCCAGCCACCCCAGCCTGCTCTGTTCTGCACCAGGGCATGGAGCCCTTGGAGGAAGCGCTGCTGCCATCATGGCAGGGGGTGGGTGATGTCCACACCCATCTGGTGGTCGGCTGTGCTCGCTGCTGAGCCCAGGTGGGGACACACACACCCTGCCAGCCCCCAGGGACTTGCGGTTTGACACAGGGATGGGCTTGATCAGTGTTCTGGCTGTGGGACGTACATGGCCCTGCGGAGCCATGAGGACCCAGATCCCAGCTCCTGTCATTTCATTGCCACTTCCCTGTACTTCCCTGCCACCTCTGGCATGAGGGACATGAACATCCACCAGACCAGACACAGCTGTGTCACCCTTGCCACCAAGGGGACATGAGCAGCAGTCAGCACGTGCAGGCCCCTCTGCCCCCCAGCCTCTGTGGGTGCAATCTCTGCTGCTCTCCACTGCCTGCCACCACTCTTTCCTCTTCATACTGAAAGCAAAACCTACTCCCATCTGCCATTTCTTCCCCTCTAGTTTCTATCAGCATCCACCATGCTGGGCACACACAGCCCAGCCACACATGTCTCCAGAAGAAAGGGTGTTCACTGGAGCTCTGTGCCACCAGCCAGAGGAACATCCTGGCTGAAGCTGAGGTCTCATCTGTAAACCAACCCACATGAGGAAACAACAACACCAGCATGATATTTGCTGATAAGATGGTACAAGATCTACAAGAATGACAAGTGAGAGATTCTGTATCCCTTTTGCTCTCCCCTCTGGATCTCTACATTTCTTCCATGCTCTTTCTTATGCTCAGTTCCTCTCTGCATTTGAATCTTCATCTTCTCTCATTTCACAACTGCATATCGATGTGTACTTGTTTGCTTCCTTCCTTTTCATTTCTATTCTGGTTCTCACGTTTCCTGGCACTGATGAAGCCAAGACCTTCTCCAGCAAGACGTGCCTTCCCCCTGTTCCCAGCTGTGGTGCTGGTGGGACTAAAGGTTAAGGTCTTGCTTTCTGCTGACTCCACAGAGGTGCTCTCCTACCAGAGCCCCTTCCAGGTCCAACAGCCACATTCCATGGTGCTCTCTGCCAAGGAGAAAAGAGAGCAGGAAATGACAAGCTGCTGTTTGTAGCAGGGTGCCCCGTGTCAGCAGCAGCTACACCACACAATGCCCACAGCAGCAGGGAGGCTGCAGCTCCTCAGGAGCTCCCCGCTCCCTTGAAGCGCACAGAACAGGGAAATACAGAACAGGTTTTCCTCTCCCAGCTGCGGGGAGCCGGCGATGTGCGATGCTGGTGAGGATGATGAGCGCTGTGAGAAGTGCTGTTTTCAGTCCGTGGCTTTACAGAGGCTCTTCCTTGGGTGTCCCGGTGCTCTGCCCTCCGCAGGGCCGCCAAAAGCTGTCCTGCCCCCGGCGCGAACCTCACAGCACCGTGGGGTGACGGAGCTCGGGGGCATATCGATCTGAGGCCCCTGAGCCCTCAGGGAGCTCGGAAAAGCCAGCCTGGTGCTGCGCCAGAGCTGGAGGTGCTGCACACACTGGCGGTGCCCGCGGCTCCCTGAGGCAGAGCACCGCCAAGATCGGCCGCCCCGGAGACCGGCTCCGGGCACGGCCCCAGAGCCTCACCACAGCTCACCGCGCTGCTCTCTCATTGGCTGTTTTCTTTGTCCGTCACATAAATCCCGCCTCTTCGCCCATCTCCGGCCGTAGGATTGGCTGTCTCTTTCGCGGCGCGTGAAGCCCAGCTGGGCGGCGCCATGTTGGGAGCCGCTGCCCGGCGGAGGGGCGGTGCGGCGCTGGGTTGTCGCGCATGCGCGACCCGGGCAGGGCCGCCGCCCCGGGAGCGCGCGGCCGCCTCGGGAGCGCGCCCGGCCCGAGGATGCGCCAGGCGGGACAACCGCGGTGGCCCGGCCGGGCACAGGTGAGGGCGGCTCCGACCCCTCGGGGCCCCTGGGCTCCTCCGCTGTCCCGGGGCCGCTGGGCGGCTAGGGGGGCGCGCTCCTGCCAGAGGGCGCGGGGCCGGGAGCGGCTGGGGAGGGGCCGGGGGTAGCAGCTCCGTGCGGGCCGGTGAGGTGAGGCGGGGCCTCCCTGAGGGGGGGAGGTCTGGCGAGGTGAGGCGAGGTGAGCCCTGCCCTGATGCCGGGGTGAGGCGAGGCCAGGTGAGCTCTGTCCCGCCCAGCCCTGTGAGGAGCCCGCACACGGAGAGCAGCACGGAGCCCCGCGGGCCACGCCAGAGGCATCCCCGGGTGCCGTGGCCATCCCCGGGTGCCGTGGCCGTGGGTTTTGCGTGGGGGCCGGTTTGGTTCCCGGGATATTGCAGCTGCTGCTGTCTCCGGCACGGTCCTCACTGCCGCCCTCGACCTGGAGCGGCACCTGCGGGAAGCGCTGTACCTGGGACGGGGCTCTGCTGCCGAACATGCGGAGCAGGAAGGGCAGAGGCTCTGCTGGGCTTTCTCCAGGTGTGCTGGGTTCCTTGAGGCCGGGCACTCGTGGGTTATCGCACAGCCCGCTGGCGCTGAATCAAAAGCACCTTCAGTGAAGAAAGCACGTCTGTTTTGGCATCAACACGTGAACCATTTCATACACAGCCTCAAGTGTATGTGTGCCAGAGGGCAGAAGTGTTTGCCGGTGTGCTCCTCCACCATGTGCCTCGTCTTTCTTGGAACCCAAAAGGAACTTTTTTAGGATAAGCTGGAGACATGTGAAAATCTTTCTCTTTATGCAGAGCCAGTGCTACCCTGCCCAGCACCTTTCTGAACGTGGGCTGTTATTTTCACTACCTTTGGCCATCTGTAATGGTCCACAACGGTTTCTGGACCCTGTGATCCCTGGCTGTACTATCTAGTTTTTGAGACTTCTGCCTTTGGAGTTCCCAGACTGCTTCAGTGTGGAATTGAATGGGATCCTGTAGGAACTATCAGGTTTTTGCACTGGGTCACAGACTTCTTGTTGCTATGTGTACCAAAAGAGTCAAAAAGGTTCTTCCTTCCTATGACCAGGATGGGACTTCAAACTCACTGTGACATTCAGCAAAAATGAAGGTGTGACCACCAAAAAAAGGAATGGCAGAGCTCTTAAGTGCTTCTTTTGGAAAATTTAAGACAGAATGATGTTGCAGGATTGATTATTTCATCTCTGTTAAAAAAAGATTGATTTTTATGTCCTGACATGCAAGATACCTGCTGCAGTCTGGTTTCAGTTGCCCATAAAAGCTCTGCCTTTTGTGTTTTCTGGGGGAAGGTTCTCAGTGAAGTGCTCATTCCAGTGTTTGACTGCTGGAGAGGTTGATGCACTAGGATTTAAATTTTTGTAACTGATTTGCTGAGGCTTGTTTGAAAGATTGAGGCTTGGTGGGTTCTAAAGTAAATATGTAGCAATTGTATACCTAATTCTATGCTGGTGTTGGTATCAGTTTCAAACATTTCTTTCTCGGAGCTGTTGCCATGCTGTGCCAAAACCAGTTTTCTCTAGTTTTCAGTTCAGTGCTAGATGTGATTTCAGTGCATTCAGTGAGCTTCAGTGGATAGACAGGAGTCTGTCTTTTCACCCCCTGTAAATGACAAATGTCTGCACTGTCTCATGGCAAGGGCACTTCACAGCTTAAAAAAGTCTGCTGCAAGGAGCCACCTCCTTCAGATTGTTTTGATCCTGCCTTCTCTGAGCTCCTTTTGATGTGCTCTTACATGGTGAAGGACAGTGAAAATTTCGGTTTTCTCCATCCTAAGCTAAGCCACTCTTGACTTTATTACTTGTGATGTCTCTTCCAAACTGAGGAATCTTTCCTTGCTTAGGTCTTACTTTTCAAAATATTTTGGTGTTTTTGATCACCTCTGCATCACTTCCAGCTCTGCTCCCCCCTGCTTAGAGGAAAAGTGCCAGATGTGCACCTAGAGCTCCAGATGATGGTGCTCTGGGGACTTCTGTGGCAGCACAGTGCTGTTCTTCTGAGATCCCTGTTCCCTCCTCCCAAGCTGTTAATTACAGCTGCCTCTCCTCAGCAGTGGCCTTTTTCTGACATAGAGGGTTTGGGCTGTTTCCTCAGGGTGGCCTGGGCAGGAATCCCTCTCCTGCCAGCACTGGAGTGTGTCTTCAGTGTGTGTGTGTGTGAAGGCTGCAGTACCCAGGTGTTTTTTAAAAGCTCCCTCAACTCGGTTCTGCTCTGTGGTTTGCCCTGTGTAAGGATTGTCTTTTTGCTGCCCTGACAAACCAGGACTTCCCAGCAGGAGAAGGTCTGGTGAGGGAAGAGGAGGCTGCAGGTGGCTCTCAGGGAAGGAAGAGAAGCTTGTCCTCTGCTCAGGGCCACTCTGCAGAGCATGGTGGCTGCAACATTTGGGCTCTCCAGCCCTGTGGGGCCCTTTGACCATGCAAGCTGTGTCTGCATACCCAGAGAGCTCGGGCTGCCCTGCTGGAAGTCATTGCTGAGGCTGGGTTGGCCACTTCTTCCTTTGTGGTGGTACTAGCGGTGAGCTGGTGACCTGAAGTTCTTGTAGCATCAGGAGCTGGTGCATGGTAGCTAATCAGCAGATTTTTGTAGGTTTGTGCCAATAGCTCCTGGTGATACCAGTGTAGAACCATACTATGTTTTAGGATAAGTGAGTTTAAGATTAATTCCACCTGACTGAGATTATTTTTAAGTGGCAGTTGGATGGAAAACAGGGAAGAGTAACACTTAAACTGAGTGATTGTTACAAAAATCAGCTTATCTGAGTAGCAGGAGTCTCCTGTTGTACATACTGTAGTGTTCTCCTAGAGCATTTTCAATGAATTCAGCCTTTTCTGAGCCATTGTGGTGCTGTGTGATCTGGTGCAAGCAGGCACACACTCACTTACCTGGTCACTGTTCCAACTCACTTTATGTCCCTTCAAATAAAGTTGTTCTTTCTGTTGTAAGAATTTTAGCTATTCCAGACCATAAACTGCTAAACAGATTTGTGGGCACTTCAGTAGTTATGCCCACTGTACAACCAGTTGCAAGTTTTTTTTTTTTTTTTTTTTTTTGTTTTTTTTTTTTTTTTTTTTTGGTGATTTATATAAAGCAAGCCTGGGTAGGAGCCATCCTCCTTGCCAGTATCCCAGGGTCTCACCCTTTTATGTAGACTAGTAAATATTTTCAAGATCCTTTTGATCTTTGTCACTGCCTTGTTTGAGTGTTCTGCTAAATGTTGGATAAAAAGGAATTTATGCCAATGGGCTTTCTTCATTTTTATAAAGAATGACAGTGACAGTATCACTGCAAATGCTGCATCACACAGAATAGGGAGAAACATATTGAATTAATTAAGTAAATATTTCATTAAGTTGTTTTATAGCATCTGTAAACATTTGTGCATTTTGCAAGATAAATATTCGCAAGTATTTCTGTTTTCTAGTTTAGTGTCTGTACTACAGAAATACCTAGGAATTCAGTCAGGGTTCAGTTTTATAACATGCTGGGCAATGTAGGCACCCCCAGAGTAATAAGATGCTGATTGCAAACAAAGCACTTGCACTGGGAGCAGTTCCACTTCTGTGCTGGTACTGCCCATGCTGTGTAAGGATTTACTTCATGTGCTGTAACTCAATGTGAGTATCCTGAGATGGGGAGATCAGTAACACTGTTTCTGAAACAGGCCGTGGTTCTTGCTGCTTATAAGTGTCTTTTCCAAAGGTGTTGATCTGGTGCTGGTACCAGTTCTCTTTTTTAAATACGGTCTTTTTTACTTTTTCATTGTAAGCTTCTGATGAAAATTGAACTAGTCATGTTTTTCTCTCAAAAATAAAAAGAAATCCAAAAAGGTCAAGTGGGTGTAGCAGAGGAGAATTCAGAAAGGCACAGAACAAAAGCTGGATTATAGGTTTCTGTGGTGTCAGAGATGGAGGAGGCTTCTGACATCTCTCCTGGAAGCTGGTGCTAAAGCGAGTGCTAAAGGCAGTTTGGCCAGGTGTGGACAGCAGCTGTGCTAAGGCAGACTGGCAGGTAGGGATTGAAGGAATTGATTTATCAGGAAATATCTGGAAGAACAAAAGAAGTGTGACTTGGCCAATTGTTTGTGTGTAGGGAGTATAATAATTCTGTGCAAACCCTGCATTCCTGGAGACTAAGTGGCATTGGCAGAAGGAGATATTTTTAACTGTCCTAAGTGAAGTTTTATCTACCCACAGTGGACACAGAGGAGCGCCCTTTTCCTTTCAGCAAGCAGATCTCTGTGTATTTAAACACTGGCATTCTCTCTCCTTGTAGGCTTCTCCTCCCCAGGCAAAACAAGCTCACTGAATCCAGGCTTTCCCCACAGGATACATTTTATAAATCTTCTCTAGACTGACTTATCTATTTGCCATAAAATTGTTAAGGTCCAAGTAGTTGTTTTCAGTTTGTGTATTTGATTTGGAAGAAAGATTTATGTGTCCCAAAGCATGTCTATTATTTCCAGCTATTTCAATTGGTCTAATAAAAGATATTACCTCATGTCACAAACCTTTATCTCATTTAGGTACTTACATCATCACAAATAGAGCAGCACTGCTTTTACTGCTGGTGTGACAGACTCCATGTCCTGTCCTCTTGGTGCTTCCTGTCACTCCCAGTTTGTGCCTCTCTGTGTCTGGTTTATCCTGCGTTC